TTGGCTTAAGGGTGGTAGGAGACTCCGACGTCGGGGTTCTGGGTGATTTGGTTCCTGTGGCCTCATATTTGGGCGACTAATGAAGCAGGGCCAGCCTAGCTTACAAACAACAGACCCTTGCCATCCTGCACATGTTCACTTGCACTGGCAGACTGATGTAAGACAATCGTATCACCCTGTTTATTTATTTAACCTAGTGGACAATTAAGAGTCACTAGGAAAACAAATAGTCCCCCAACCCAATAAATGTCAAATCCCTGGCCAACCGGTTGTCGGCGGTTGAGGTTTGTCTGCGTGATATTTCCTGGGGATTTGCGTCCGCAGTGACTGGGGCGTAGGGGTGGGGGTGGGGCGAAGGGGGAAGGGATGGGAACGAAATGAATCATTTTGGGGGAGAACCGTTTAGGTCCGCCGGTCTTATTCCTCCCAGAGAAGAATTTTCGTTGTAGGAAACTCAGAGGGGAGCGATATGAATTGGCTGTGAAAGGACTGTTTGTAGACACATATAGAGCTCATAAACACTTGTTGGGGATGCTAGTACAGGTGAGAGGAGTTTACATTCAGATGAGGAAAGACAGCACTTAAAGGATACCTGGAAGAGAAGGGTGCCCGCGCCTGGAGAAAGTGGCTCTAGGGTCCAAAAAGAAAAGAGGAAAAGCCCCAAACACAAACTAGACACACAGGCAGTGACTAAAAAATGTATTGGTCGTGAGGTGGGAGAGCCTGTCAAATCTCTCCTGCTCCTAAGCTAGGCGTTGGGGAATTTCCTAGTCACTCCCCTCACCACACTAAAAAAAAAAACTCCCCTCCCCACTCAAAGCAACCCCACTGTTTAAAAATGTCTTCCCTGGGTTTTATGTCCAGGTTTTTGTTTGTTCTAAAGTCTCCCTGAGACTGAATCTTTGAAAACAAATATCTACCTTTTGTACCTTGTTTCCTACACTAGGATGGGGTCGGGGGTGGGGTCCGGGTGAGGGCCATCTGCAAACATTCCTTTGAACCTCACTTCTCCCCATCACCTTTTCTTTCCCAGAAGGAGAGGAGACAAGCAGCTGTGAGGGCAGAAGGACAGCTTTGCTCTAATAGGATTTAAAAACCACTCGTTTGTGTCTGATCTGCAGCTTCTTAAACTTGTGTAAAGAGTCAGAGGCACTGGGGCCTTTGAAGAGGAAATAACGAAGTCCTGGGGTCCAGGGGAGAAGCCTAAGGGATGAAGAGTCAGGAGAGCATCAGGATGGGTGGTGTTAATGGAGAGAAAATTCTGGGGAGCCCAGCAAGTGCCACGTTTCCCAGGCTACCCTGAGAGTTGTGAAGCCCGGGTTCTCTGGCCCCTGCTAAAAATGGGAGCAAAGATTTAGCTTGAAAGAGGCCTTAGAGTCCAGCCCTAGTCTAGTTCACCCCTCTTACTTTAAGTAGGGGGAAACTGAGCCCCAGAGCAGTTCACACAGGTGATATAAGTGAAGTTAGTGTTCGATCCCAGTTCCTTTGACTCCAAATCCATTACTCTTTCCATTGCAACAGATCCAGCTGGTGAGTGGACAAGCAGCCAAGGCCCAAGCCACTTCTGAGAAGATGTGCAAAGAATAGGTGTGGAAGTAAATGGAAACCCTGTTGTTGCATTGCCCGGTTTTGAAGAGGGATACCCCACAGGAAAGTTCTTGGGAAACTAGACTTTACAGAAAGGTCTCTACTCTTGCAGCTGCCCCGCCCCCCACCCCACCCCACCCCAGTAAATTTCTTCGAAGTGTTTGAGCCATTTTCCTCTGACCCTGGCTGCTAACATTCTCTTCCCTCATGCCTAGACATTGGTGGATTTTAGAACTTAAATATATGTTTGTAGAATAATACCTAATATTTCTAGTGGAGTTTGAAAATCAAATTCTCATCTACACAATTACATTCTTCAGAACTTTGAGATTTACAAACTACTTTCTTTATAGGTGGAAAAAACTAGGTGCAAAAAAGAAGTTAAATTGTTCTTAGAAGTGACATTGTAAGGAAAATAAAACCTTTATGGTATGCTACAAATCATGAACTTGTCCAATGAATAAGACTGCTTGATTGAAGGCAATAAATTCTATATGCACTCACACAATACACACACATATTAATAGCTCCTACTTCCCAGGTTTGTTGTGGAAATCAAATGAGATAATATTTGTAAAGCAGTTAGCACAGTGCTTGGCATGTAATAGGCACTATGTAAATGGTGATGAGGATGATAAGAAATGACCTGTGAATTCATAAGCTGGGCCAGCAAGTCTATGACATTCTTAAAGGAAAAGTCCTAGGAAGTTGCCTTAATGCTGAAGTCAGAAAAGTAGTAAGTGCTATAGACAGGATTTAAACTCAGGTCTTTCCCACACCAAGCTCAGTGCTACCACTCTATATCCATATCTTTTGATAACAAAAATAAATCATAAATAAAAATGTACTCTTCTGTAGTAAATATAGGACAAAATATTTATTGAGAGCCCACTAAGCAATAGGCATAACATACAACAGTTTAACATAGCACTTTAAGATTTGCAAATACATACTTGATCTCTTTTACACAGGAGTCAGAAACAGTGAGAAGTTTGCATTCTAAGTTGTATTAGGCCATTTTATACATAGGAAAAGAATCAAGAAACACGATAGTTTCTGGTAGTGGGCTGCTCTTAACCCTGACAATTTTCAAAAAGTTTGCCATTCAAAAAGTGCTCCCACATGGTTCTGTTGCTGGGAGATATGCACACTCAAAGAAAACCACTGCTTTCAAAGTCTGTCCTCACTCACTCTGTCTCTAAAGTTAAAGCATAGACATAGAAAACTTGGTTTCTCTTTGTGCCTCACTTTTCTCATCTGTAAAATGGGAGGTGGTTTCACTTGATGGCTTTAAAGGTCCCTTCCAGTTCTAAATCTATGGTCCTATGATTCTTCTCAGAAACCAGGAGCTTTTCTGGGAAAGGTGTTGGTGTCATAGAAGTCATAAATCCTACCTTTGATGCCAGGTGTATGATCATGGACAAATCACTTAACCTCTCTCTCCCTATCTATAAAACAAGGGGGTTAGACTCTGTGGCCTCTAAGTTCCCTTCCAGCTCTAAATCTGTAATTATAGGATCTAGTGGGTGTTTAGTCCTTTCCTGTCCCTCCTCAGAAGGGGCCCTCTAGTCCAGCCCACTCATTGTACTTGGGGTGAACTTGACTTCCAAAGAGAAGTGACTTGCTGAGGTGTTACAGGTAGTGTCTCACCTCTTCAGGGATCTCTCTCTCCTAGAGTCTTCATCCTAGTAAAGGACTCTTCAGGCTGCCTCCTCTCTCCCCTAAAACAACCCACCAAGAGGGAAGAATGGGAGCAGATGCTTTCCAAACAGTAAATGGGAACAACCATGCAACCAAAGGACCTGCTTGCAACCACTCTGCACCAGTAATGATAGTGAAATTTTATCTAACACATTCTGTGTGCTGTGCAGGCTATTTATCCATCTTGGGATTCATTCAGTGCTTTGTTTCTTCCATCCAACTCCTCATCCTTCTTTCTGCCTATATTTTGACCAATTCACTATTTCTTTGCATATTTTCCGATGGATGGGCAGAAGCAAAAAATAAACTCAATTTTATAATTATAAATTTTATTTTATAAAATATGAAATTTTATTATTATAAAATTACTACTTTAAATAACAGAATCAACGCCAGTGTGATACAGCACTAAAATGAGGTTTTGAGTAATTGTAAATTTTTCATCTGCATTGGCCATGCTATTCTAGTACCCATTATTGCTAGGCTCAGTGCACCCCAGGCTCAGCCCAAATTCTTTTCTCCATCTTCACCTGCCTCTTGCCTAAATGGAGAAACTGAGGCAGGAAAGACAGGAGTGACCTGCTCATCCAGTGATGGGAGGAGCAATGAGCCAAGAGGAGCTGGGAGTCAGAACTGATGGGCCCTGGGGTTGTGAAATAGGCTTCTGTAATTTAAAGGACCTTTCCCTGGAGTGTCCCTGGATTTGGGAGTCCTTTAAAGAACCTTATTTTAACTAGCTGTGTGACCTTGGGCAAGTCACTTAACCCTGATTGCCTCAGCAAAAAAAAAAAAAAGTAAAAAAAAAAAGCGAAAGAGAGAGAGAGAGAGAGAGAGAGAGAGAGAGAGAGAGAGAGAGAGACCTTATTGCTGCTAAGGAGAGTTTTCCCCCAGTCGAATTTAACTAATCCTGAGAAGACAGTTGGTGTGTATATTTTTGCGTCTGTCTGTCTACCCGTCTGTCTGTCTTTCTGTCTGCCTATCGGTCTCCTCAGTCACAGAGCCTTGCTGGTCGCAGCGCGGAGAAGACTCTAACTTTGTTCTGGTACCTTTATTTTTGTAATTCTGCATTTATTCAGCACTTTCCCCGTCGAAGCAGAGTGGGAGAGACAACCAATTTTCCGAGACCTTTTTTGTCGTGCAGTTTGAATTTGCCCCTCTAAGTTTGTGGCAAGGGGGAACAGAGGCAACTAAATGCTTAGGGCTTGGGGATCCAATCTGTCACACCCTCTTTCCTCTCCTCCTCCTCTCTCTCTTCTTCCCTCCCTCCTCCTGCCAGGCTGCAGTTGCGTGGCCTGGCGGGCGGCGCCAACGCCTGCCGAAAGGGCGCTAGCCGGCCCGGGCTTCGGCTGCCCAGGTTCCCGGGGGAAGCCCTGTTGCCAGGTTGGATTTTCACGCCTCCTCCAGAGCGCAGATTGTCCGAGATGAAGGCGCCACCTCTGGCGCCCAGACCCAGACCCGCCCCTCCCGACTCAGAGTCCTCGCAGGTCCTCCCTCCCTCCCCTTCTTATCTCTGCCGTAGCCCCCTTCCAGTCTCTCTCTGTCTTGCTCCTCTCAGGGTTCACTTTCCCCGCCACGCACCCACTCCCTGAGCCTTCAGTTGCAACCCCAAGATTGATGCCCGCAGAGCTGACTGTCACAGAGCCCACCCATCCGGGCCAGCGTGCAGGAAAAGGACGAATACTCCGCAGCTGGAGCCAAACCCAGACAGCGGGATGCAGAACTGCGGAGGCGGCTCCGTCGGCGGCGTCGGGGCCCGGAGAGCCTTTGACAGTATCTGTCCCAATAGGATGCTGGATCTTTCCAGCCGGCAGCTCAGGAAGCAGGAGAAGTTGGAGAAGAAGGTGCGGAGAGGGGGATGGAGGGGGCATCTGGGAGCATACCCAGGTCTCTAGGGGTAGGTGCAGGAGTCGTCGGGGGTCGGGGATGAGCATGGGATGAGTAATGTCTGCCACTAGACTGCAAGAGAGTTTCCGGAATCGCTGTTTCTTTCCCAATTCAGTTCGTGCCCCCGCGGAAGCTCTTTGAGAGCAGCAGCCCCATCTCTATTTACACCGACCCCCCGGAGGCGGAGCTGGCAGGTTTGCCAGGTGAGCAAGATGCCCCCGGTCCGGAATGTCCTCCCCATTCGGTGGATGTGACTTGGAATGCAGATTATATCCAACTAGCCTAGCCTTTAGTCCCCAATCCCACACATGCCCCAGCTCCGTCTCCTCTAGCTAAGGTCCAGGCTAGTGTCCCTTTAAATCTCGGGAAACAGGAAAAGGAGAGATGGAGGATGCCCGTCTAGAGAAGACAAGAGTCTGGGCATCTGTACCCATGTCTCCCTTCTCTTCGTTTTCCAGCCTTGACTACGATTGACTGGCAGGATTTCGCGGATTGCTCCTCACTCCTGCATGAAGAAAGCTCCCCCAGCTGTGATGCTGCGGTGTCACAGGTACCTCCTCTAATCCTCACAGTCCTTCTGCATCCATCCTTTCACCTCCTGCATCCCTGAACTCTGATACTCTAGGAACTTTTCCCATGTCCCAATCTAATTCAACTACATCCGACGATTCATTTATTAAGCGTCTGCTCTGTGCCAGGCAAAGAGCTGAGAACGTAAAGGGTTCTTGCTCGTAGCAAATAAACTAAGGCTGTAGGGGTCCCTACCTGGGGCTGACTTCTGGCTCTCGAAAGATGCTGGGGTTTTGGCTGGGCAAAGGATAGAAACTAACTGCAATGGCAAATTAATTAAAAAACCCTCTCCATCTGCTCTTCTCTCTCCCTCCTCCTTGGCTCCTTCTGGTATGTTAGGACCTCAGCTTTCCCCGGGGCTGTTGAGAGCAACACAGATCAGAGCTTTCAGAGAGGAAAGAGAGGATTTCCAAATTTTTGCCACCTACCTTGTAGACTAGTGGTGGGAAGAGGAAGTGTGTAAATATTCTTTGGACATGGATTTGGAAATAGAGGAAGGGGAAATATGATCTTTCTCTTTCCTCATCCATGCTGAGTCTAATACCTTTCCTGCTGCAATGATACCGGGCTGTTTTTCACTTGGGATGGGGATGCGCCTCATCGAGAAAGGTGGGATAAGGCTGAGATGTGGGTCTGAGGGGGAGAAAGAAAGTGTGCATTTAGGGTTATTTTATAGAGTCACTGCTTTGTGACCTAGGGCAATAGTCCGTGTTTCTGAGGCTCAAAACCTGGGGTGTGATGGTGGATGTAAGGATTTACTCTTAGGGACCTGGAATCTTTGACAAATGATCTTTGACTTTCAGAGACAATTCAAATTCCAGTTTCCCTAGCTGGCTCCATGGAGACTAGCAAGAACCTTTTAGTGAGAATGTAGAGCCCACTAACCTCCACGTGAGCTAGCAGCCCATCTCCTTGAAGGAAAGAGGTCTGATGTCTTTAGCTCACCTAAACCAAATAGAAACAGCTCGGGGTCGCAAGTTCAGTAATCCCTTCCTGCAAGCTGCTTTAGATTTCCAGAGAGAAGAAAGGTGACTGTGGGCCAGGGCTCTGTAGTGAGTCCAGCTTTCTGCATTGTATGAAACAGTTTCAACAGACTGAAGAGACAGTAAAGGCTCTGTAGAGGTGCTACCAGTAACTTTTCTTGGGTAGAGAGTATGCATGAGTATGGTTGCACTGCAAGGCCTTGATGAGGATCCCACCAAAGGATATACAGTTCCCCTAAATGCACAGGTGAATATTGTTCAAGTGGCTCTCGAATTAAAGGGGAATCCCAAAAGGAAAGCTCCTCCCAGCCATTCATTTTACAATTAACATAGAAAGGTTGTACTGGAAATTTTTGCTGAGAGTATATGGAATTTTAATTTGTCATTATCATGAAATATCTTATTTGTTTCTTTAGGGGAGAAAAATGCCATATTTTTACTTAAGGGGAAGGAAAACTCATCACTAGAAAAACAAAACAAAACAAAACAAAACACTGGACTTGGAATCAGGAGAACTGGGTTGGAATCCTATCTCTGTACTTACTAGTTTTGTGCACCCACTAGCTAGCTCCCAGCAGGCCACTTCCCCAATGTTGAACTACTAAGCTAACTAAGCTACTTAGAACTGGACCCTACCGTCCCCTGGACTCCAAAGTCAGATAGGATGAAGCAGGATGGTATTGTGAAAAGAGGTCTGGTCAGGGCCTATGTCTACATGAATTCCTTGGAGTTACTCTTCAATCAATTAACAACATTTATTAAGCATCTACTTTGTGCCAGGCCTTCAGTTTCCTCCCCTATAAAATGGATCAAATTACTTCTAAGGTCCCTTGCAGATCCAGAGCATTTTATGGTTCTATAAAACAAACATTGTAATTAAATTGAAGCATTGGTGGCCACCCAGTATGCTGAGCCAGGCCTTCTTTCTCTGTGTTTCAGAGGAGGGAATAATAGGACCATATAGGACTTATGGTTTAAAGGCCATCAAGTCCAACATCCTCTTTTTACAGATGAAACTTTACAGAGGAAATTAAGACTGAGAGAAGGTAAATAACTTGCCCAGGGTCACAGAGCTTATAAGTGTTTGAGTCAGGATTTAAACTCAGTTCTTCCTGATTCTATGTCCACCGATTTATCTATTATACCATCTAGCTGCTTTTACAAAGGAGAATACCCTGGTGAAGGGCTGGGACTTAGTGGTGAGCTAGGCAGACAGTCACCTGACATAATAGGGTAGGGGAAGAGTGAAAGTAAAAATACTTTTAACTATTTCTTTTAATAAATGTACTTTTTTTAAACATGCTGTAAAGTTACTGGTACCTAAGTGTCTGTAGCAAGTATGTTGAATGCTCAAAGTCTCTGGCCACGGGTAACACATGGGTGGTGGTGGTGATGGTGGTGGTGGTTCAATTGACAAGGTGTGGGTGGATCACACAAACACCTTGTCTTATTGGTATCTTGGCATATTCTCAAACAGTTATAAATTTGACCCTTTAAAGAAGGACTGACCCTAAGCAAAATTCAGAAGTGGACCAACTTTTGTCTTTCTTGCCCACATGTTTCCCTAGTCCTACCCCTCTACACACATGCCTGCACAATACACACTTTTAGCTGTTCCTTCTCCCAGGTACAAAGTCCTCTCATTATGGCTACCTAGACTTTCTAGTCCATTTTGAGGAAAGTAATCTAATAAATCTATTCAAATTAAGTTGTTAAGGGATTAATATGATCCTGTTCCAGGAGTTTTTGCATTTTCAAAAAAGACCTACAGGGAAGGGACAGTAAATGGTTAATGGTAGAATTTTTTTGCAGAACAGTTGGGGTGGGTGATGGTGGTGACATAAGCTTCTTTAACATCCAAACCAGTTTTTTTCCTACTGCATTTCCTCGATTCTTCATATCATAGACTCACAGACTTGGAGCTGGAAGGGATCTTAGAAATCCTTCAGTCCAGAGGGCGTTCTTAATCTTTTTTTGTGTGTTATGGACCCTTCTGGCAGAATAATGTTTTTAAATACGTAAAATAAAATACGTAGACTCCTATGTATTTTAAACTATCTTAAAGTGCAGTTCATCTAAAACATTTTTTTTTAAATTAACAGACCCCTGCTTAACAACCTCTTATGTAGTTTAGCCTCCTCTCTTCTGCAGTTGAGGAAACAGAAGCCAAGAGAGGGCAAGTGACTTGCTTCAGGTCTCTGTCAGTAAGTGTCACAGTCTCGAACCCCGATCTCTTACCCAGGGTCTCTGAAGTAAAAATTCGGAATTCTTTACATTAAACCGCACTGATTCTACAGCACTAGCTTCTCCTGGAATCTGAATTGGGCAGAATGCAGTGCATCAATTAGAACGGACTAGACCGCCTGCACCCCCCCAAAACTGTGTTTGTCTCCCTTTCATTGTAAAATCACCGCTTAATCTCAGCACATAGTCCGGACAGAAGTCACTATTCCTGTGGTTTGTTATTCCTGTGCAGTAACCACATTGTTAGGTACAAAGAGAGCAGAACGCTGCTTCACCCGGACCTCAGGTTGACCCCGTATTGATGCGTGATTTGGCCGACAGTTCCTGCAAAGGGTTCAGGAGGCCACGAGGGGCTCCCAGTGCTGCGCGTCTTTGCCCTGATCCTACTACCGCGGGCACGTCTTCTGGGCAGTCAAGCTCTAGTTAATGTTTCACTGGCCCCTGAGGAATGCGCGGCGCCCTGATGGAGGACGGTGGTTGGCTCGTGTGGTTGGCCAATAAAGCTGCAGCGGAGGCCGAGAGGTCCTCCAGAGGCTGCGGCGCGGCGCGTGCCAGCAAGAGGTGTCCAGCCAGGAGACAGCTGCACACCTGCTAGGACCTCAGCCTTCGGGACCTGTGGTAGTAAGCCTAGTAGCTGTGCCTCCGTGGCCAGTCATCTGCAGTTTAAACCTTCGGAATAAGAACATTTGCCCCTGCATCCCTTATATACTCCGCACTCATGGCAATGCAAGCCTGCTATTTGCAATATTCAGGATGGGGCTTGGATTTTCAGGTATGAGTGACTGTATGAATGGGTATTTTGAGTGTGTGTGTGTGTGTGTGTGTGTGTGTGTGTGTGTGTGTGTGTGTATGAACTAGCCACCGGGCACAGGAGAAGGCGGATATACCTAATTAGGACTGGCCAAAGAGCAACTGATGAGATTAGAATGATCTAATTAAGCGCAGTGCTACATTTCTGCTTTGTTTCAGAGCCACTGTCCACAAACAGAACCACAGTTTGATCTGCAGGATTTCAGGGATGCAGTGGACAATCTCATATCAGGCAAGTGTGGTTTTTGCAGTTGAAGGATGGTCTAAGCAGTGCTCCAGCAACAGGGATTTCCCCTCTATGCCCACCATCCAATCAGTGGGACAGCCCGTGTATTGCTTATTTCCTTAGTTGGGTAATTTCATGTCTGATTCTGGCAAGAGGAGAAAACTTTCAAACACTAACTGGTAGCCCCGAATATGAAGTGACAGCGGAAAAGAAAAACAGCTATTTTTTTTAACCTGGTTAACCCCGCCACCCCCTCTACCACCTCCAAAACGAGGAGATGAATTGTTGCGACTTTTGCCCTTGCTGCATCGAAAGGGCTCAACATTTACGCGTTGTTGTGCAATTCACTGAGGGAGGTGCGATAAGAGTGAGAAGAGGAGGTCTCGGGTCTGAGAAGGAGAAAGAAATGTACGTTAGGGTTACTTTGTACAGTCTCAGCTTCGTGACCTAGGGCAAGGTCTCTGACCCGATTTCTTCATCTTCAATAATGCTTGCCCTGCTTAAACTTCACAAGGAGGCTAAAGGACCAAAAGAGATAAGGTGTGTGAAGCCTATGCAAACCTTAAAACATTGTGTAAATGTAAGTAATTGTTATTATCTGTCTCAGAATCAAAGGGGGATCGTTTCCCTCCTATCCATTTTGGAGAGGGAAAAAGTCACAGAATCTCCATTGATGAACACTGGAACAAGGAATGATTCCCTAATTGGTTCGCCAGTTTTAGTGAGGGATAGACTGGTTGAAGTTTGGGGAGGGGTGAAGGTTCTCTAAATATGGTACCTTTTCGGAGATTTTAACCAGAAATCTCTTGTAACTTCTGCATTGGCATAGTCAGTGACACCTAATGCCATCGTCTGCTGTTCCACAGACCCATCGTCTTTGATGTCATCTCCCATGGGTCCTGAAGACTTTTCCTTCCCTTCCTGCGACGTCTCATCCTTCGGTTCCTGCATTTCTCCCCAGCCGGAGCACCCTGTGCCTCGCATGAGCATTCAAGGTGTTCCTCATCCGGAGCAGTACTGGAAGGAAGTGGCCGACCAGAACCAGAAAGCCCTGGGAGATGCCCTGGTAGAAAATAATCAAGTAGGGAGACCAGAGTTTAGGGGTGGGAATCTTGGGACATGGAAATGGAGTAACCAATCCAGAGGTAGTGATATCCTCCCCAAATCCTTTTCAGGACTCTGGAAGATAACTGGTGTGATTTGAAGCTTCTTTCCCCACCCCCCTGAAGTGCCTTAATAGTATGCATAGTTCCTGTCTTTCTCAATTCTTCCCAGTCCCAGCCAGCTTTGAAATCCTAATCCTGTTAAATTGTTGGTTGGAGATAGTGCAGATTTACCCTGGCATTAACCATGCATTGGCATGTAAATGCTCTTGTAAATTGTGTACCTGTTTATTTTTTTCTTCTCTTGGTCCACACTGGTGATTTCATTGGCATGGAAAACTTCTTGTGTGTAAACATCTTCCACCTTTGTAAATCAGCAGCACAGCGGTAATTTATCATCTTAAAGAGACAGTTGAAGCTCTCAGAGGTTGAGTGATTTGCCCATGGTCACACAGCCAGTATTCTAGGTATCTCCAAAGTCCTGGTGCAGTTTTAATCGCTTAAATCATTAAATTATTAAAGCTTTAAATTGCACTAAGACTTTTGTGATATCCTGTGTATTACAGATACGATTTGAACTCATGTCTTTCAGTTCTATATTACCCCACTTGATTTTCTTGCTTTTTCTATGCATTATATGCAATATTGTTTTAGAGATTGAACAGAAAATGCATAAAAAAAATCTAAATCATGCATGGGATGTTAAAATTGGATGTTAAAATATCCCGTACTATACAGATGAGAAAACAGAATGGTGACAAAAGTAGGGGAACAGAATCCTCGGAATCCAATTCCCAGTATCTTCTAATATGGGACTATTAATGTCCACTCAGGAAAGTATGATGTACCTGTGATTGTATTGGATTGTATTGGATTGGATCCTCTGTGCTTCCCTCTCCTCTTCCCCCCAACCTGGCAGCTGTACGTGACACTGACCCAGAAGCAGGAGGAGATCGCGTCCTTGAAAGAAAGGAACATTCAGCTGAAGGAGCTGGCCAGCAGGACTCGACACCTGGCTTCTGTCCTTGATGTAAGTGTGAGGAGGGCTGGGGTTTAAGAAAAGTAATAGGAACGCAGCACAATGTTCACCAAAGGACGTTCTGGTGCCAGCTCTAACCGGCTTTCAAGATTGTTAAAATTTCAAAGTGAGAATCTATACAAAATCAGGGCTTAATTATTTATTGTCTTTTTGACTGTCTAGACTTAAGAAGGCATTAACAATGTAGATTAAATTTAAAATTGTCAGTGCATATACCCCACCCCTTTGTTAAACATTTACCAGCACACCTCTGTATTGCTCCATAAGCAATGCTTGAGCTCAGCAGGAGTGCAAGCAAGAAGGCTCTAGGAATGAAGTCATCACCAAACTAGAAGCCTGGTGACTGGAGGCTGATAATGATAACAACAATAACTGGCATTTATATAGCGCTTTAAGGTTTACAAAGTGCTTTACACCATTATCTCATTTGAGCCTCACACTGCCCGTGGCTACTGGACGGTAGCTCCTCTGAAGATGTCCACTATTTTCTATCACTTGGAAAGGATGGTTGAGGAGATTGTCAGTAGTCGCTGCTGCCCTCCGGAGGACTGCGAATTCTGCGCTCAGTCCCTGTTTATACGTGCACAACTCGCATTAACTGAGCTGCCCTTGAAGCCAGTTGGCCAAACTAGACCGAACGCCCTTCAATGCACTATTTCCTTTTCCCAACAACCACAGAAGCTGATGATCACCCAGGCCCAGGACTGCAGGGCTGCTCCGGAGCCCTTCCTGCTCAAAGCTTCTGCTAAGAGGAGCCTGGAGGAGCTGCTCACAGTCAGCGGCCAGGACTGCGCCGAAGTGGACGCGATCCTGCGGGAGATCTCGGAGCAGTGCGATGCAGCTCTGCAGAGCCGGGACACCAAGCGGCCTAGGCTGCAGCCCGGAGGTCCGGGCACTGCCGGTCCGCCGCCGGCGCCCCTGCACGGGGCCTTCCGCGGGCTGCGGGCGGACTGCAGCCAGGGATCCCTGAACCTGAGCCATAGCGAGCTGGAGGACGGTGGCTCCTTCAGCACTCCGATTCGGGACCACTGCACTATCCGCACTCTGGCGTTCCCCCAGGGCAACGCCTTTACTATACGGACAGCCAGCGGAGGCTACAAGTTCCGCTGGGTGCCCAGCTGAGCTCAGGGGGAGGGTCTCCGGATTGCACTGGTCTAACCGCCCTCTGACACCAGGAGGCACTGCCTGCACCGTGATCGCAACTCCTTGGGCTTTGCCTGTCTCCAAAACTTCACTTTTGGGAATGTCTTCTCCCTACCCGGCATATGAACCCGACTTCCAGTCCCCAGGAATGTTGTTGTTGCTGTTATTAAGAACTAAAACAGGTTGCGGGAACATACTGTATTTCAAAATCTGTTAGCAAATGCTGTTAGTATAACATCTCCCCCTTAAAAAGGTGGTGGGGGGAACAGGATCTAAAGATGTAGTGCCATCACTTTAAAAATTATGTATTATTCTGAATGAGAATCACAGGATAAAACAAAAAAAAAAAAAGCTTGTAAGGAAACCTAAAGTTCAATGCTCTCAGTTTATAATGAATGAAACTAAAGTCCGCAGAAATTTAGGAACTTGTCCAAGGTCACACAGCTAATTAAAGGTTACTAGATCCCAGGTCTCCTGACTCCTAGCCTGGTGGTCTTCATAGTGTTGTTTTCAGTTGTGTCTGACTTTTCGTGACTGCATGGACTACAACAGGACAATGCCATGGGGTTTTCATTGCAGATACTGGAATGGTTTGCCATTTCCTTTTGCAGTGGATTAAGGCAAATAGAGGTTAAGTGACTTGCCCAGACTCACACTGCTACTAAGTGTCTGAGGTCGGATTTGAACTCATCTTCCTGACTCCAGGCCCAGTGCTCTATCCACTGAACCATCTAGCTGCCTAGTAAGCCCTTAATAAATGCTTGTTATTCTTTCTCCTGTATTATGCTGCCTTCCCTAAGGAAATGTAGTTTTGCTATTATTTCAAACTGCTATTCCAGTCAGTAATAGAATGAAGGAAGGGTGAGGAGAAGAATGATGAAGCAGTGCCTTGAGAAACAAAATGGCAGATTCTGGATCTCAAAAGCATAGAATGATAGAGTTAGATCTGAAGTGGACCTTAGAGATCTTAGAACCACACACACAGTATCCTAAAGCTTAATGAAGCTTTAAGCTTTGAATAAACCTCAGAGACTAGTCCAGTCCTCTCGTTTACAAATAAGAAAGGAATCTGAGGTTAGATGAATTGCCCAACATTAAATAGATGAGAATCAAAGGCAGGATTTGAATCCACATCCTTCAGATCCAGTGCTCTTTCCACTGTACCAGCTGCCTCCACCCTCAATTTCTGTATGAGGAAATGGAATCTCAGAAAGCTGAAATGATTGGCCCAAGTCAAAAGGGTATCATGTAGCAGAGGCAGGATTTGAACCCAACTCTTTCAATTCATTTCACAATGCCTGCGCTATACTCTGGAATATGTATTTTATGTCTACCTGAATATGTTGAGCACATTTGTTTATGAAGATCATTTGTGTAACTTTATATGGTTTAATATAAATATTTGTATATAAAACATGTTTGTCGTTTGATTTGGGTCACGTAATAACTACTCATTTCCCTTTTTTTCTTTTTCTTTTTTTGTAAATTTTTGTTCATCTTAAACTTAAATACAAAATGAGAAAAGAAAAAAAGAACATTTTAATATACACAGCAGAACATAAGATAGGATTCAATATAAAACAATACATTTCCATTTCAAGAAAAGTTATATAATGAATACTACACATTGTTTTCAAACCTACTCGGCTTTTCTTTGCTGCCCTCTATGTTTTCTTTTGTTTTCTGCTGTGCACTTTTTACTTTATTTTTTTCTCCTTCCCTTCCTCCCCCTCCCTAAAGAAGGGTACAATTAAATGAGTATACATACACACATATACACAGATATCTATAAACATGTACATATCCACTCATGCACATACATGTAAGACATATGCATATTTCCACTTGTCATCAAGGTGGATAGCATCTTCCTTCATAAGTCCAAGTCTTTCTATGTTTTTCTAAATCAATGAGCTCATTATTTCTTACACCATAGCATAATTCCAACACAATCACATCCTATCTGAGAGACTGTCTTTGAAAGTTCCCCCCCAATTTTCTTCATTCCTTCTACATTGATTTTATTTATACGAGAATTTTTTTTTTTTTGCTGCTTTTTGGTGAGGTAATTGGGGTTAAGTGACTTGCCCAGGGTCACACAGCTATTAAGTGTCAAGTGTCAAGTGAGCTGGAGCCAGGTCCTCCTGACTCCAAAGCTGGAGCTTTATCCACTGTACTGCACCACCTAACTCCCCCTAACAAGAAATTTCTAATTTAAAATAATCGAAATTTTCCATTTTACATTTCAACAATGCTCTCACCTTATAATATAGTTTAAGGTCTGATACTACTGAATCTCCTTCCTTCACATATTTTTTCCCTAATTTCTTTGAAATTCCTTACCTTTAGTTCTTCCAAATGAACTTTGTTATTATTTTTCTAACTCAGTAAAGTAATTTTTAGTAATTTAATTGGGATGGCATTGCACAAATAAATTAGGTAAAATTGTCATTTTTTTATTATATTGAGTCCTCTTCAATACTTTAGAAGATGTTTGCATTCAACAGTGTGCTTACTACCTCCGCTAATGTAGCAACCCTTCCCTGTCTTGCTACATGGTCAAAAAAATGCATCATCTGAGGAGCAGCCTTCTGGAAGTAGAGCCTTTCTGTACTTGTTCGTTGGCCTGGAAATCTAAGAAAATGTCTAAGTTAGTCCTTTACTCCTTTCCTGTACCTTCTTGCTTCAATCTCCTTTTTATCACGTCTCTTTTCTTATGTTGTAAGTCATTTACAGAGTGGCAGAAATGTAATATCAAAGGTAAATGTTTTATCCCTCCTTTTCTTTTCTCATACTTCTGCCATTTTCTCTTTGTCCTGTTGCCTCCATGTGGTCCTCAGAGAGGAGCCCCTTGAAGCTGAGAGGCTCAGATCTGGCACAAACCCAGTACTGTTACATCTCAGCTTAAGACTTTGACACTGAGTTCAGGTATCATGTAACATGTGAGCTGGGTAGCGGTAGCAGAACCTGCTATACCAGTTTACAATGTGTACTGTCATTTGTATTTAAATAGCCCTTTAGAAACCAACAAATTGATCCAAAGCCATATTTCCCCATAGTCTAATAAATGAACATTTTTATTTTTTAAAATACATATATTTTTAAAAATTGGAGTTGTAGGAATGGGTGGTAGCCAAAATTCTGCTCATAAGTCCTTTTGCCCATAGTGGCAAAATTTTTTAAAAATATTTTTAAAATATTTTTTAACAATGGTGCAGTGAATTGAGCACTGGATTTGGAGTCCAGAAGATCTGCTTTCCAATACTTCCTCACTGGATGTATGACTTTGGCCAAATCACTTAACCGCCATGTGCCTCAGTTTCCTCATCTGCAAACACTTACCTCATGGGATCATTGTGATGATCAAATGAAATGATATATGTAAAGGACTTTGCAAACCTCAAAGCACTATTCACACACTAGCCATTATTACTCTTATTTTAGTGAATTTTTTAGTCAGCACAGCATCTGAAATGTCTGCAGAGTAAAATCAGCAGCCAAAAAAAAAAAAGAAAAGAAAAAGAAGAGAAAAGAAAAAAAAAATTTAACCTGTCTTGGACAACTGACTCTACAGAGGAAATCTTAAAAAAAAAAAAATGAAACCTTTTTTCCCCATTAAGAAGCACTTATTTTCCTTCTTACCCTCTACTGGCCTCTTGTTACTTTTACATACTTTAAAAATTTCTGGGGCAGCTAGGTGGTGCAGTGGGTACAGCACTGGCCCTGAGGTCAGGAGGACCTGCATGCAAATTCGACCTCAGACACTTGATACTTACTAGCTGTGTGACCTTGGACAAGTCACTTAACCCCATTGCCTAGCAAAAACAAAAAAAAAATTTCTAATTTTATTGGTGTGGACATTTCTACTATTGATTCACATCACAGCCCCTCCACATCTTTAAATCTTGTTTCCCATAAACACTCCACAGAAAACCAACTCATCCTTCTGGAGGCCTAATAAGATCATAGGCAAATCGACTTAGAATGGCCAGGGCCTTCAGAAGGCATTTAGTATAATCTCCTCACTTTACAGGTAAGAAAATTGAGACCCAGACAAGTTAGACCCAAAGTCACAGAGATAGTAAGTAGGAAGGCAGGGATTATAACTTTTTTTTAAAATTTAGACAGTAGGGGTTACGTGACTTGTCCAGGGTCTGAGGCTGGATTTGAATTCAAGTCCTCTTGACTCCAGGGCTGGTGCTCTATCCATTGCATCACCTAGCTGCCCCAATAAAACCACTTTTTCAGGAGTCGATCTATTCATCGCTCACAGAACAGAAATTGAACATTGAGAGAGCCAATAATTAAATGTGACTGTTGGAAGACAGTCATGAAATTGTGTGATTCTTCTAAGTATCCTCTTCCCTTTCAGCTTCTTCTGAATTCTTTTCTGCCACATTATTGCAGAAGGAGGCAAGGGGACTGCAAAGGCCAGAGGCACATTTTGCATTTTTATCTCTTTTTCATGAGTTGCTTTGTCGGGGGTGGGTGGTAACCAAAATTCTACTCATGAGCACTTTTGCCCACAGTGGCCTTGCCCACATGCACACCTCAACAATGCCAGGTCTACAATCCATTGTCTAGCTTGAATTCAACATCTTCCCAGCTTTGTAAGATCTGCCAGAGCTTATACTCCATTGGCATAGCTTTGGGAACCAGAGACATCAGAATAAGACTTTAATGAACAATCTTCTTAATACAAAGTTTAAATGAATGAAAGGTAAATCTACACCCCACTCCCCTTTTTGGTGGAGGGATGGCTCAGCCCTTTTGAGCCTGCTATCGCTGTCCATAGGGACACTGCTTCATAACTACTCTGTGTGCTAGTCACCAATCTGTTATAATTGCTTCCAAGTTCTCAGGATAGAATCATCTCTTCAGGTCTGTAATGATCCTTCATATTCCTCTGAGGCAGTTTGCAACTGCTGACCCTGAGAGGTAAAGAGGTTTGGTAACATACCCACGCTTGTATCACTCAT